ATGTGTTGACTTTGTAAGCTACATATCTCAACTTGTAAGACAAGTTTTTTATATGTGCGCCACATAATTAGCTTATTTCATAAGCTAATAAGACGTCGTTAATTTATTGACGAAGTTTTTAATCTACTAATCAATTACAAACACATGTGAAGTCAAAGCAACATCTATAAAGCTATTAGGAAGTTTTTCTAGAAAATATTATAAAATAAATTTAATTTTATTTACTTTTATTTAATCATATAAATAAATATTAGAATAAATATATATGTCCATGATAACAACTTAATTAGTCAAATTATAATGCCATAATGCTTTAACAAATATATTTTACATTTATGCATCCCTATTAATTCCAATTATATATATTTTTATAAGAACTTGTTATAACAAAAGATCATTTTTTTTAAAATATTACATTTTATAAATCTAAATGAATAAATAAAATAATAAATATTTAATTTTTTATTAAAAAATATCATTATTTATTATTTTATTTATATATATATATATATATATATATATATATATATATATAATTTAATATAATTTTTTTATATTAGAGTAAGAAATGAAATTCTTACAATTTAATTTTAGTACAGCAATTCTTGTTGTATAGTTGTTAATATTCCTAAAATTTCAATAAAACTTTGTTGTTCAAGAATTTTGTAGAAAATGAAGATAAAATATAAAATATTATATAATAAATATAATATAAAAACTATAAAAACTATAAATATAATTATAAAAATAAAAAAAATATAAAAAATTAATTATAAAGATAAGAACTATTAATATAAAATTATAAAATAATAAAATGACTTTGAAATTTCTATATAAATATGTATTTAACAATAGTATCCTAACTTCCATTACAGAAGAAAGAAAGATGGTAGCCAAAGGATGTAAAATGCATACAGTGTAGAATCAAAAAAATTAAATAAAAAATTCTTTTATATATGGTGGCATACAAAAAGTTATCATTTTTAGTTTTTTAATACCTATACTTTAGAGTACTAGAAAATAATAATTTCTTGAATTTTCCTCCCAATCAATTTTATAATTTAATTAACCTTTCTATTACCAATAGCTTGTTATTTATAAAGTATAATTTTGACATGAATAAAAATAAATCTAATGTAGCTAGAGTAAGTGAACTTTGATTGTAAAAAAAATATTGCAAATGAATTCATTTGCTTACTCTAAAAAAAGTTGGCTCAAAATATCCAATTCATAATAAAACTTGATATTGATTGTAATAAAAAAAAAATCCAAATTTGAGTGTTTGATGATGAATTATTTTATAAATTAAAGAGTTTTTTTTTGCAATAAAATAAATTTAAGTATTAAAATGAATATTGAAGTCAATCAATCATAATAAATGAATTTCAATTACTATGCTTAATGAATTTTTATCATTGTAGTCTTGTGCACTAAAGAATTAATTTAAATTAATTTATGCCATAACCACCCCGATGTCAATAACAAAAGCTATATTTTTCTACTCTTAACTGAAGAGCCTCTTTATATCCTTATTTCTACTTCTTCATAAGCTTGGCCTTCTTCTTCCTAGAAAGATAATTAAAATGAGCATTCAGGGTCGACACCTTCAAAGAAACATCATTGGAGGCATAGCAAGAGTTATTTGCACACAATAGTTTCAAAGTTGCAAAGTTAAGCTTTACTTTCTTCTTCTCTGCCTGCTTTTATTGCTTTTTCTTTTAAATATTCCTTTGCAGCAAATTTAACTTGGTTTTTTTATATCTTTTGAAACTTCCACTTCAATACTTCTTGAAATTTATTGAAAGTAATCCTTACTGCAAGACAATCAAATAGACTATATTGTATTAAAGAATCTTGTTTGAGCTTCAAAACTTGATGTCCAAAATCCAAAAATCTAAAAGTATCATCTAAAAAAAGCCTTTCAAAAATAGAAAAAAATATTTAAAAAATGGTAGAGATAGAAATCTACAAAAAAAAAGCCTAAAAATACGATGCATTTTAAAAAAATTTATGATATAGGTTACTTCAAAAAGATGCTATATCTACCTTTTTAAAAGTAAATAATACACTCTTTAAAAATAGTGGAGTGACTTTGTCTTCTTCTATGCAAGTACCTCAATCAACTTCAACCCTTCATCTTACATAATAAAAGCTTCAATAAGTTTTAATCAATGTCTATCCTATATATCAAAAATCTTATGCATGCTTCAAGTTGTGAGTCAAGTATATACTACATTTTGGCCAAGTATCATAACAATCAGTATGAAAACAAGGCATTGGTCTTAATCAATGATCAAAGCAAGGAGCTCCTTTTGCAATCCAATGTTTTGTCAAGGTCAATCAGACACTATGCTTCTAAGATACGTCTTAACATGAAATCCTCTTCCTATCCTTGGAATTGCAATCTTTTCTTTGCCCAACTATTATCCAACATATCGTATTAGGATCCATAATGGAAGATGTATTTAAGGCCTTAGTTTGATTCACAATCATAAAATGATCTAATGTCTTACAATCCAACACTTCTTGTAAGGTTACAACGGACTTGCCATTATTGTCTTAGTTGCCAAAACCACATGCTACATTGTTAGGGTTGTTTCTTGTCTTAGTCAAGCTTTGAATGTGACTTTTATTGAAAGAATAATTAAACCTATCAAAGAAGTAAGTGGTTGGCAACACAAATTACACTAAAACATGTCATATAAGCTATCTATTATGACACATGTGAAGTTGTTCAAAGACGCACTTAGAAAACTATTTCAAATTTGGATCAAAGCACAATTGAGCTTTTGAGCATTGTTGTTACAATATGAAATACAAAAGATGTTACAAATAGTAAAAACTTATTTAAATAAAATAATTTAATTAAAATAATAAAATAATATATATTAGATTGATATAAAATAATAGAAGATACAAAAAAAATGATGAAGCTTCTTTAAATGATGTAGATTGATAATTATAGAAAAATAAAGATATCTATAGAAACCACATGAGGAGGTCAATGAAGGGCTATGAAGCTTCCAAAAGCTCCAAAAGTATTACATGCAATATGTATGTGACATCAATAGCACACTATGGAAGTATACATGCCTATCAAATATTCTTTAAAAAAACAATATAAGAAAACAATAAAATCTAATAAAAATAAACACAAAAATAAAAAAGATTAGAGGTGCAAAGAAGGTGTCTTATGAAGCATTCCTAGATTGGACCTTTGGAGTTTGATCTTGCTAGTGGCACTTCAATCTTGTTAGAGGTCAAACACACAACTATAAAACTATCCAGTTGTAATTACAAAATGTGACTTACAGAGCATCCATATACTCCAAATGAAGCATAATTTTTAGCCAATTGCCACATCTGCAATCATGCCATTGGAAAAGTATAACAAAGACAACCACAATGTCAATCACAATAATGAACACAAATTATGAACTCCAAAGAACATAAACTTTTTTGGTGAAAACAAAGACCAATCCATGCAATAAATGAGAACCACTATTCGAATGATGAAAACCAAGAGAGATACATGCAGTGAAGGAGAGCCACCACTTATCTCTTTGAGCAATCTTAATATATAGATATATATGTATATTACTTGATTATTTTTAAATACAAGTTTTTATTATTAAAAATTTTGATTTTAAAGTAGCTACAATTATTACTTTAATATTAGTCTATTATAATATTCTACACTCATATTCAAATTCTTTGAATAGTATAAAAAATCTAAAATATATTTTAAAAAATAATAATTTAAATAAGATAAAATAAAATAAAATTGACAACTTAAATATAATTCTAAATATTTGTATAAAAATCCATTTACCTCTTGTTAAATTCCATATATTTGTATCTCTCTCTCTCTCTATATATATATATATATATATATATATATATTTGTATATTCCAACATATGCAAAGACAAATAAATGAATAATATCTAGTGAATATACAAAGTGAAGTAGTTATTTGGTTTTTGGATTTTCGGTGTTTAGTTTTTCAAAAAAGTTTAAAAAATAAATAAAATGATTGTGGTGATTCTAGAAGTAAATAACAAAAAACTCTTTTTCATATATATATTTTTATTTATTATGTACCTACATTGTACTAAAATTTCTCAGCACACACAGCCTTGAATTCTTGTGAATAACAACTATTATTATTTTACCAAACAAAAATGGACAATACCTGCAATTTTTTAACAGACCATTAATCATGTTCACAAATGGTTACAATTTTGCAGAGGACAGCACCATCCCAGAGTAATTTGATCACAATTTTAAGGTTCAGCCATGGATGCTGATTCCCTTCAAATGTACAGTTCAGATCTAACAAAAAAAGACTACATTATTACTATTCAGTTGGAATCCTCAACCAATCAACATAAAATTTCCTTACATATAACAACACTATGCACCGCAACATGGTTCCACGAATCTGTTAGCTTCTAATTCAATCATACAGACTTCTAAAAATACATCACCTAATCCATCATTCTAACCCCTTCGCTTTTGCCGCCTCTACCAGGATGCTAACTACGATTCCTCCCCAAGAATATTCATTTTCCTCCTTTTTAATAATGGATTTCATTTTGCCACCACCCACATGAATGTTTTGGAAATGTTTGGATATTTCTTTTGGATTATTTTATATATATATATATATATATATATATATGTGTATATTTTTCCTCATTGCAATTTTTCTTATTATTTTTCTCACATAAACAAATATTAAGTCCCAGTGTAGTGTACCCGGCGTTAAGAACGAGGTCATACCCTCCCAACACTTGGTCCTTCCACGTCGGATTTGAAGTTCAAATTAGCAACTTGGAATCCAAGATGGCACGCGGAGCCGTCATGTTTTCTCCGCCGCAGGAGAACTCCAGTACAAAAGCAACGAACAGAGAAACTCCAGATACGGAAAGCATGGCCCGCATCACCGACGTGGACCCAGCCCTTCTTCTGCTGTACATTATAAAGAGGGTGGTGATGCGAATGGCGGTGTTGATATCAGTTCGTACCTCTCATCTTCTCGCTGCCTGTGTCTGAGATAAATACAGTATTTGAACTTAATCCTTCAGGTTTTGTTTTGTTTTTCTTTTGTTTTTGCTTCGAGGGTCATCATGTCTGGGTGCGGCAACGCCAATTGCAAGTGTGGTCCATCTTGCACTTGCACCACCTGCTCGTAAGTTCTGTACTCTGATGACGCTTGCCGTTGGAGCTGTGGAGTGTGCATGGTTTCTCTGCAGGTCCATGTTGTATTTGAATCGTTTGTCAGAAGTTATGTGAAATGTGTGTGTTTCCGGCTGTTGTTTACGAGATAATGTGAGTCATGTTCGGATACAATTGTGGGTTACTAGAATAATTACAGACATTGGAATTCTCTCCTCGCCTTGTTGATCTTAATCGTGTACATACATTCTGGCTAGTATTTGTGCACATCGCAGTTTTACTGTGCTCCTTGTGCTTCGCATACTTTAATGTGGTCACTCCTCCTGTAAGTAGCTTTAGGTACTCGATCTGATGAGATTTTTGCGGATTTCATAGTCTGTTAGTAAGGAATACGGATTAATTTTCATCGTAACGGATATGGGTCATCGATTGACTAAGTTGTGTACTTGAATCTTTTTGCTAAATCTTTGCTCTTACAGCCTCCGCTGCATGCAGACGAGGCAGTATATTTTCCACCAGCGATTTTAGTTTTCGTGAGCTTTCCGAGAGTAGAGTAGCATACAGCGCAGTTAGGTGTGAAAGCTCTGCAGGATATGTGATTCTTGGACGCATTTTAAAGCATGAGATGTTAATGGGTATATGAGTTGGATTCTTCTACGAGGGGAGGTCCGTTGATTCCTTGCTCGTCTCCTACGTGTTTGAAGTTTACGCACAACGTGATAGTTATCAGGTTGATGCAAACCAGATTTCGACTATTATTATATTATAACCAGCGCGGCTTATGCGACTATTCGATAACTGGTTTCTGTTTGTTCTTGCAGGTGTGGAAATAAAATGGCCGAACCTGTTTTTGGTGGATTTCGCAAGTAAGTGAACCTCATTATCGCCCTGCCATTGGAGTAAGCATGTTTCGAGATGGCTTTGCGATCCTTCTTGGTCGTTATATAATGTTGAAATTCGAAGCAGTATTGAAACAATTTTATTTTATTTTATTTTATTGTATGTCTCGACTTGGCTGGTAATAGTCTGACATTGGTATTGGCAGCTACAATACTGAGAATGGGTGCAAGTGCGGGCCGGATTGCAAGTGCGACACCTGCGACTGCGACTGTCATAAGTAAATGAGATCGATCCGGCATGTCCTAACGCTGGACCCCTCATGAGAGGATTAGATTCTCTTGGGCTTTGTACATAAATGGGCAAGTAAATGGTGCATTTGTGGCTTTGAGTGTTGAGGAGTGTTGTGGATGTCTTAGTTGTAAAATCTTATGACATCAAAGTATTGAAACGAGCTTTTGAACAAATTTGTGTTTCGTTTACTTAACTTTGTGAATAAATAAGAGTTGAAGATTTTTTCGTAGCTTAATAGTTTTCTATCTTTTCTCAAATACTGCTCGACGACAGTTTAGATAACTGCAGACAACAGTTACACGACGACGAACTACACTGTATGATGAAAATAACTGTACACAGCATCAGGATGCATGTATTGCTGATGTAAGTTTTTCAATCGTGCCAATTCATGCCAAAATCATGTGCATGTACCCTTTCCAATCAATATGAAATCACCTGAAGTTGAGCAACTGCCAGTCCTTTACGTTCTCTGACAGAAATCAAACAAGTCAACCACAAATCTTCCGTAGTTGAGCCGGAACTGGAAGTGGAGGACCTGAAGTGCTTCAGTTGAGCAGTTCCGGCTCTGCTTCTGTGCTGGCCCCTCAAACACGGGGGGCTTGTATTCTGGCTGATATTTCTCGAGCCATTGAGTCCAGAATATGTTGAACCTGAACGTGCCTGCGTTTGTGACGGAGATCTTGAATGTGACGCTAAAATGCCACCTGCCCATATAACACTGCTGCGCTTACTTTTTTTGTAAAATTGGTACAGTTCGAAGGTCCTTCCTATACTGAGAGCCTTTGCCGGCTGTAAAACTCCAGAATTATTCCTTGAAGCTTACTCTATCGATTATTTCTCCAAACTTGCCCAACTCGATGCGATCCTTGAATCTACTCTTTCATGTTGTCTTACATGCCACGAGATTCTGAAGACTACCATGTGACCTTAATACAATCGCTACCGCCACTCAGCAACCTGTACTCCTTGGACCTTCCAGACTGCACTCTTGCCTATCTACTTATGTCATACTACATATGATATCTTTATCATAGTTCTTTTTATTGATCATTGTATCTAGCATTGTATCTAGAAAACTCTTATAATAATATTTATTAGAATACTCATAGGTACCCTAGACTTTGTAGTGTCAAAGCAAGTGATGTTAGTACGTCCTGAATCTTGAAGTTGCACATATGTTTAGGCCTCCCTGTAAAGAGTTAATTGATTGCATGTGCAATAATCTTGACCACATGTCTTAGAAGGAGCCTTTGATGTTTTTAGTTTAAAGTGAAGAAATGAGTGGATACTTGATTTGGGATTTTAACTTATTTTAAAAACATAAATTTGTTCTCATTTAGATTTTGCTAAGATTCAATCCCTAACCTTAGAAGGAAGGAAAATCTCATGTAATTGAAAGAAAGCATGGTAAAGCTTTTTTTATCCTTTGAACATATATAGATTTTTAAGGATATTGTGTACTAGGGCAATTTAGAAACATTTATTTAATTGAGAAAATCATTGATTTGGATTATTTGGCTATCTTTGATAAATAGACATGTGTAATTATAGTCAAAATAAAACCTTATAGATTTATAGATTTATAGAATCCATATATAGATATCAAATGACCTATATAAATTAACAAATCTTTATAGCTAAGGACTTGAGCACATCAACCTAATTGTTAGCACCATCTTTTAAGTATAACTGGTAGTAACCATGGAAAGCATCATATATACTCATATGTTGCAACTATAGTATAGCAAACTAAAACATTTAAATTATAGAAGACATAGCAAATTAATTACAATTCTTACCTTAAGATTATCACATTTTTGTATATTACCTCAAATTTTTCACTTGTAAATTAAAAAAAAACAACTAAACTTTGCAATTATTGAATTTTCAAATTAGAATCATATTAATTGGAGGTAGGATTTTCAAATTTCTTAGGTCCAATGTAACTAATTTTGTAATTACATTGATAAATAATGCACCAGTAGTTATTAATTAAAGAATTATTTGTAAAGAAAAATTCTCAATAAAATAGCCAAAACTTAGTACAATTAGAACTTTTAGATATATTGTTTTTTTCATTTTAACAAGGCCAATCATGAAAAACTTAGCTTTTAATTGATTCTACTAAAACAACTTAGTTTAGTTTAAAAAACAAAAGGATACCTGATCTACCTTCGATCTTTTAAAAAAATTTAAATTACACAAGATGTAAAATTTGATGAAACCAAGTTCCATACAAGTACAAACAAAGAAGTTACCTTCTTAAATAAATCATTACTATTGCTACTACTACAACCATTACACTTAAATTACTATAGCAATGATAATATTTTTGGTATACCATAAATATCTTCATCCACTCAACCATTTAGAATCCATTAATCACTATCCATTAATACATCATAAATCACTCCTATACTATTAAAAATACCATTTCAAGCTAATAGCCAACTATTACATGCACTATTATTTCTATTGCCAACCAACTTGTTGTGGTTTTGAAAAAATGAATTTGCAAAATCAGATTAAAGTCTAAAGACATAATTTATAAGAAAAAAGCTTGCTTGATTGGTAGTGGCTTTAAGCAATGGGAAGGATTAGCCTATGCATATATGTTTGATCATGTTATAAAATGAAAAAAAATTAAATTAATACTTGCTTTTGCGGCCAAACACAAGTAGAAATTATATCATATAAATGTGTATATTGTTTTTTTAGATAGAGATTTGGAAGAAGAAGTATTTATAACTCAATTCAAAGGCTTTGAAGTAAAAGAGCTATATGGCCTTAAACAAGCTCCAAACACATGGTATACAAAGATTGTTTTCTTCTTCAAATAACAAGTCTTTATTAAGAAAGAAGGTAATTATAATCTATAGACAATAAAACTTAGAAAAAATATTTTTTTACTTATACTTTATGAAGATGATTTGTTATTTACAAGAAACTATAATAATTAGATTAAGTGATTCAAGGCATAGTTAAAAGTACATTATGAAATATTATAAATTGAAGAAATAAACATGACTTTATTTCTAAAGGCAAAGTGTATAAGAATACTAGAAGACAAATTTCTTTTGTAAAGGAGATATGTGATTCAAACACTCAAATTATTTCGAATGATTAAATGCCAAGTATCTTCAATTCTTATAACCTCAAGACTAAAATGACTATTGACATAAATTTAGAATTTGTCTATCTAACTACTTACATGTCTATGGTGAAAAAACTAATTAATCTTGCTTATATACCATCTAACATTTTATACTTGATAGAAATAGTTAGCAAATACATGTCTAGACTACAAGTTCTTAACCTATAAGTAATAAAATAGATATTGCATTATATTGCAAGAATACAAGATTTAAGAACCTTTGATTAAAAAGACTCAAATTTACTAATTATAGAATATAAAAACACAAATTGGATAAGTGGAATTGAAAGAGATTGATTAACTATGGATTTTATTTATTTTTTGACTTGGAAACAAACCTATTATTTGACTATCAAAGAAATAGTCTTTAGTGGTATTATCTTCAAAAACAAAGTACATAGGAATATCAACTATAAGGGAGTTTTCATGGCTTTAATTATATTCAAACTTAAGCCATGATCAATCATATATGATAACAAAGCAAACATCAAAATAGGTGTGAATTCAAAAATAAATCCTAAAACTAAGCATATAGCTATCTATTTTGATAATAGCAAAGAAAATATTTTAAGAAGTAAAGTCAATTTTATCTATTTTTAGAATTTTGAAAAGAAAACTAATATCTTTACTAAATTCTTATTAGAGGACTTTTGGACAAATTTAAAACTTTATTCAATGTATCAACTACAATGACATTACAAATCATCATCAAATTTTAGTGACATCAAACTCATAAAATATTACAACAAGCTCTTGTATCATTAATTCATGTTTTAACTTTTAATTGATAAATACTCATCTATATAGTCATAAGAATTCCAATCAGTACAATCTCTAGTGTCTATTGACATAACTAAATTGTATCATAAATTGTCTTTCATATTTATAAACTATTTATTTTATAAATCTCACTAAAAAATTCATGATTTTTGTAAAATTATCTACTAAATTTTAATTAAAATAAAAATATTTAATTTATTTTTTAAACTAAATTAATCTAAAAATATTTTTAAAGAATTATATATAAATAATATATATATATATATATATATATATACTTTGAGTTAAAATTTTATATTACAAAAGTATAATATTATATTTAAGCTTTTATAAATTTTTCAATAAGACCAAATACTATTATACTTTTGTAATTGAAATATTGATGTGTGAAAATCTAATTTAAAAAACTTTACAGGAATTCAAAAAAGAGGTTTTCAGAAGATTCTAGTCCTTAATTTTTTGAATGAATCTTTACTTTGTAAAATAATTAAATTTAATAATAACCAAAAAAAATAGATTTTTATACCTTTTCTGGATAAATTAATGTTTTTATTTTCTAATTTTAGATACATATACGTAAAATTATTTTAGTTCTTTAATAATATTGAAACATAATTTTTGAAACTTTCAAATAACCAGTATGATTTTATTCTTAAACAAAACGTCATAATAATGATATTTCTGTTGACTAGATTATATCAAGTATTCTGCAAAAGTCATATATTATCTACTTCAAATAATGAGAACTTATTAAAATTATTAAATTGATAAAAAAAAAAAAAAAAAAAAAAAAAAAGGTGATTCCTTTACTCCACCTTTTTTATATTTTTATTAAAAAAAATCGTATTTAAGTACAATTCCTCTAAGAATTGTTTTGGTAATAAGATAAGATATAATTAAATTATTTCATTATAAAATTTAAATGATATATATATTAACTTTAATTTTTGTGTATGAAAACATGTTGTGTATAAATTTTCAGATTTTTGTCTTATATTATTGCATTAAATATATATATATATATATATATATATATACACACTTCTATAATATATATGGTTTTAATATAAAATTTTAAAATGAAATTTATTTATAATATTACCCAAAAAAATTAAAATTTTTAAATATACCGAAAATTAAAATTAAATTAAAATTATTTGAAAAGATCATAATGATTCTTTGAAGTTGGCTACTTGGATATAATATTTTTTGTTTTATTCAAAAAAACGTGTCATGCTGAATGGAGCTACTTTAAATTTGAATATTGCAACAACCAACATAAAGTGCAAAATACCTTTAGACAGGAATCTATGAAGATAGAGAAACATGCAATGAAAAGGAACAAAAAGCATTCAGTTCAACATATGGTTAAAGCCCAAGTTATTAATATACTTTTTTCATTCTTTAAAGTCACAATTATTTTTCATTTTATTTTAAGTTTAAGCCATTGGCTGTAAGTAAAATCTTATTAGATATTCCATTTATATGTGATTTAAAATGTATTAAACACTTATTAATTAAATCTATTTAATTTTAAAATAGTTTATATATATATATATATATATATATATATATATATATATTAAATATTTAATTTTAAATAAAAAATTCAGAAAATATTATGATTTGATAAGTTAAATTATTTTAAAAAATCTTCAAAATTTTAAAAATCATTTTGTGTATATATGTGTATATATATATATATATATATAGATATAAAGTGAATATAATTTTGGTTATTGTATCCAAGTTTAGAGGTATGAATTATGAGTTGTAAAGAGCACGAGGTAATTTTGTACTTTTCATTTTTTTATGATTTTTTTTGAAGAAAGACACAACAAACACCATAGAGTGTTACAATGTTCTGTAAAGTAGCCATTAATGAACATCATCTTCATGAGGCTGTGTAATAAACCGACCTACTCCAACTAATTTTTGATATTGTATTCTTTACTAAATAGCCAAGAAAAAAAATGTTAAGCTATTAAAAAAATAGTATAAAATTTAAACTTTAAATACATTATGTTTTAATACATAACAGCCAAACTAAAACGTGTTACTTTAAAAATAAAAAATAAAAAAAATGATTACATTAGCACACCTAATTAATAAGAAAAAGGAGTAAAAATAATTCAACAATAGTCAAATGAACTTTTTGAATTAATGCAACATTTTAGTGGTATCTATAAAGAAAATCACATCAAACTCCAAATTGAAAACATGATGAGGAAATTAGATTTAATTTGCTCTATGAACCACCATGAACAAACATAAAGTTTAAGCTTCTCCACCGAATTATCATCCCGCACTTTTTGCAAAAATCACGATTTTACCTCTTTCTTGATCCATACATGGATTCTTGAAATTGAAAATCCATTGTATACCGCACTGCCCTCTAATCACTTTTGAACAAAAGAATTATGTACATATACAGACACATACATTCAAAAGCTAAGATTCCTGTAGAAGTATATATATATATACATATACACACACACAAACAGACAGATACACACTCATAAAATTTAAGATTCATGTAGAACACTTGTAGAGAATGAAGTCCACACACATGAAACCAAACCAGATAGTTTTTATATCTACATGACTAAACATGCAGTCAAGGGATTGTTACGCATGTGTAGAGGACCGAAGGAAAAGATTGAGAAACACGATGCTGCGAAAAGGCAGAACTGGGTCCACGTCGCCAAAGCCAAAAGACTAAAGACACCGGTCCAGACACAAAGCAGCAGTCAATCCTCGGCCACACTGATCAGCAAAAGCAAGAGATCTCATGTGAAAAGCTGCATCGTCCCACTCGATAGCGTGGGGTTTCGGAGACCTGAGACTCAATCTCCACATCCAACCTGAAGCAATCGCTGCAGATCCACCCTCTCGACGAAAGCAACAACAAAAAAACTCACAAAAAGTGCGCACTGAAGCTGGTGCCGCTGATCGAGACCCTGGAGAGTCCATGGAGTGATGGTCAGCTGACCACTTTGGAGCTCCGTCGACGGTTCCGTGAAAAGATAACGATCCATGGAATCGTCTTTTCGTGCGCAGAGCTGTCACTTGGTTGGCCTGCAGCATTGCACTTGGAATCACGTCATGCTACTGTGGTCCCCTGAATTACTTCGTTGCTTTGGCGTTATTCGATCCGGTTCAGGTGGGTTTTCTCTTTCCTTGTCCCTGTTCGTGCTCCAGGTTGTTTGAAGCGTTGCGGGTGACAAGGGTGCTTGGTATTGAAGGCGTAGATGGTTGCTTTGGTGAACATTGTGTCGACAGGGAAGCAACGGGTGAACCGTGTATGTTAGCGAGGCGGTGGAAGTTGGATTGCTCGATGTCATTCAGTGAGGTTGTTGTTAGACGTTGTGGGGATTCATCTAGCTTGCCTTTTAGCCCGTAACAAAGTCATTGGGTCAATCTGACACGATCGGAGGTGATCACCTCTGCGTTACGACAACTGCGACACAAGGTAGGTTCAGTGAAGTCATTCTGAATCTAACGCGGATTATACAGACATCCTTTATGAGTATTGCAAGACGTTGGGCCTTGTTGCAGATAACCAGAGGGCTGTAGCAATTTCTTAACATGCCAGTGGGATCATCCACTGTGATCTATGTGGTCTGTGACCAATTACATGCCGCCTCTCCATTGAGAGAACTCCTTGCTAGACAGAAGGACGATCAGATGTGGGCTCGATTTCCAGTGACCTCGAGCCAATGGTGTCATGTCATGATTCTAGGGAGTGTGAACCAGCAGGAGCATTGAGAAATCGCTGGATGTTTTCTATCGCATAAAATTAGAATTCGTGCATCCCTGAAAACCAGAATGAGTTTAAAAGGGATGCTGCTAGTGTGTCTCCTGTACTTAGGTTCCCAGCCCCAATATGTGCGAAGCTCTTGTGTGGGCTTGCGGAGGAGATTAGGAGCACCGTTTCAAACGCACTTCCCAATCGCATCCGATGACAGCGCTAGCGAACGGCAGCTTGGTAAGCTTTCAACACCCGTTTGTCTCCTCAGTTGAATGTTACAAGTGGAGTTTCCCGGCATCCTGCGTTTTCTGCGACAGATGGGCCAATATGACAGGTGATGTTTATTCTATTATCTAACACAACAAGATGTGTCACTAGGTTTGAGACACGATGAGAGGCTGTAAAAACGCTTGTCAATTCAGTTAAATTATAAAATTGCCAGACACATCCTTCAACAACTGCGGTTGATTGGCCAGATGAGCATTGGAAAATTTTGACCTCTGATTGATTCGTCGCAGTCTACAGAAGAGAATTAGCGGCAGCAAACACACCTTTGGCGAATTTCAGGTCGCTGGCACCGAGAGACGATCGCCTGGACCCGTTTGATTATTTCAACCATTATCGCGGGGGATACGACATCAAGAGCAAGCACTACTGGGGAGTAAGTAACACACAACCAGCTCCCCAGTGTTGAATTCCGTGCAAAAATTGTTGGTGTGCAATACCTGCGCCAAATCATCACTTTGTCCATACAAAATTCTGCGCAACCTCAAGAAAAAGGCAGGCCAACGCATCCAGTTTTGAGGATGAAGGCCGACTAAGTTGATCACATTGCGTAGTGCTTGTTTGTGAAGACTGGTGAATTGCTAGATTACTCACCAGAGAAGAACAAGGGGGGGTGTGGGGATGGTAGTCTGTAGCTTTTACAGGAATCCCTGGATACGCCATTGCAGCGGCGTGGCTGGTGTTAGGGCTACTCGACCTCCTTGCTCTTCGCTGCTGCTGCTGCAGATGTCTCTGGGGATGGATGTCATCCAAAGCTTCGAAGTGGTTACGCTCAAGAGCTCACTACTGTGCACCTCGAACTATTCTCTCCCTCCTCTCTACCATTTCAGTGTAAGTGTACCTGCACCTCAAACCCTGCAGGTGATTTTTGAACTCGTCCGTAGAACCCCGTCTTACACGTAAATTGTGAGGATAAAGTTGATTGACCAGTTTGTTGGCCGTGTGATATGTTTGCAGTGCCGGCTGCGTGGTTTTGTTTGTAGCATGCCAAAAGTTCACCTCGCAGGCTTCCAATGTGGAGGACGTACTGGTAAAGGCCGCTCTAGACGCCACGAACGATATTCACAGCATTACTGGCACACTCCACGAAGTGAAGCACAGTGTGTTGCATTATGACAGACAGTTATACCAGACCCTCAACTCAACGGCGACGAAGCTAGACAGCATCGCCGTTGCTGTAAACGAGAAGACTTTTGTCACCAAGAAGATTTACCAGAAAGTGCTTACAATTGTGTCAGTTCCGCTGCTTCCCAGATTTTCCGCTTTTCTATGTTCTAGTCCACCAGCTCAATTCCTGCACAAGAGCCTCAAGGGGTGTTCATAAACTCCATACAGTTTCTTGAAATAACTACATCCTAACCTCACTGCCGGTGTTTTTGCGGCGTTGCACAGTGAAGTTGTGTTACTTGTGGTGGCATCATTAGATCTTCTGCTCATCCTTCTTGGATTCGGTATGTTGCCTAGCGCCGTTCTCTTGCTGTATGGCTGCAGTATTTCAATATAAGTCGATAAGGGGTGTGAGTTTAGAATTGGCATCACATTGTCTGAGGATTGAGTTTAATGTAAATCACAGTGTTCAAGGAAAATGAGTCTCCACGGTGTCCCAAAAGGTTGAGATACAGAAGGCTAACTAATGATCTGGAGAAATTTGATGACTTGAGGGGCACAGCATCGACGTTTCTGAAGTGGAGGTGCTTTTTCCACATTATCGTGGTCACGTGGACGTTAACGGCCTTGACATGGATTATGTTCGGATTTTTTCTCACAGTTCATTAGTAAGTAGCTCACTTGTGTTGTTCAGTGTAGTTGTAGATCTTGCTCAGTATTGACTCCTGTGTCTGCTGCACGTTGCGTTTTGATGCATTTGAAGTCTTGGGAGCTTGCAGGTCTTGAGAACATGAATGTTGACTTCAATACAATCAGACATGGTTCTTTAATAAGGAACTTTTTTGATTGATGCCAGTATTGCAGACGACACCTGCTTAGCTTTCAAGGAATATCTTCAACACCCGCAGGACACAACCATTGATGATTTGCTTCCGTGTGCAAATTTGGCTTCATCGGATGTGCAGTTCTTGCAAATGCGGAAGGCCATGAAATACGTAATTGGGGAGACGACTGATCAATTTCTGTTCTATACCAATGGATCCACTGACTTGACAGGAGTTTGTGATCCGATTGGTCCCGCTCCGAAGTTCGAGTTCACTGACGTTTGTGCCAACGACACACTACCGGTCGGCGAATTGTCTAATGCAAGTAGAACGATTTTCATACAATCATCTATTGCTTATCATTTTGTTTTATTGTTTTTTTCGTTTGATTATTGAAGCTAGCGAACACCAATCTGCAGAGATTGATACATCTCGTTGACACTCAAAGTTGATCCATGTTGTTTGAAGCTTGTCAAGCCTTTCGTGTGCAACGGCAATCAAATTGAGTGCTTGGAGGATTACCCATTCTTTGTCAACCAGTCTACTTATGATGCAATTTCTGCATTGACACGAGGCGAGTTCCAACTTCGGACCTCATTGTTTTTCCAGTCTGGTTGAGGGATAGTACGCAATTTTCTTTTCCTGTTTTCATCGGTCGCTCGTTTGCCATTGAGCTTACGCGAAAACTTGGCCATCAATCGTTGCATGTTTATAATAATTTGTTGATCCTCTGAGTGCAGCTTTGCAAAGTATCTTGGACGCCTTCCCACTGATGGAGGGACTCACCAACTGCTCCCTTGTGCTGAACCCAATCAAAACTGTCGTGAACGTGCGCTGCGACCCTGCGAAGATAGCCATCAACCGGGTCTGGATCGCATTCGCAGTGGTGTCATCCACCCTGGTCTTGCTCATTATCTCCTGGTGCCTAGCCAACCACCAGAACTCGGAGCAACGCCACCTTAACAGCGTCGCACCTCACCAGTCTCCACCACCACCACCGTCAAGGTCATCCGTCCAGAGGTGAACTGCGCCAGTTTTATGTCGATTCTCAACAAACCCTTGCAACTGTATCATCCTCTATCCAAGTCTCTCTCTAGACTTAGAACTCTTCCCATATATGCTGCTTCAAATTCAGGCGAAAAGAGCTCATCGAAACTTGCATCGCTCGAGCGTGCCACTCCCAACATCGAGAATGCTGGGAGGTGCTAAACCTGGTTAATCCATCGGGTCCACATGCATCCACCATTCCTCCTGGGAAGCTCCTCCAAGTCTGATACGGCGTTTTTCAACATCTCATGGGACGCCGAAATTTGCCTTTTGCTGCAGGACTAGAGGATCGTACGGAATATATTAGAAGATGGTGCCTTTGAAAGTTGAGACAACCCAAGGCCTTAATGGCAGCTTAGTTGTTAACTTTTCAAAGTGTGTGACAAATCAAAATGTATTAATTAATTCAAAAATTAGAATTGACAAATACTGTGATTTTATTCAAGGTTACATTACATCATTCCCACCCAAGGTTTTGCTCATTGCATGTAAAGGAAGCCTCCGTTTGGGAAGTCAACATTTTGGCGAAGATGATGAAGCAACAATACTATCAAAAGAAACTGTGGTTGCTTTGCATTAATGTAAATAATACATTAACAATTATTTATGGTGATGTATGTGAAAAAAACTGATTTTTTTGTCAACATACTTTAATTTGAATTTTTATTTCAATGATTGAATGACAGTCATATATATATATATATATATATATATTTGTGGGGTACGAACCACCAAAATCAAAATCCATACAAGCCTAATTTTTATGAAGAAATTCAAAATTTTGAAGATGGAGTGAAGCACCTGCTCTCTTTCTTGGCATGAGTAAGACTCGTACCTCTAACCCTTGAAAAGGTTTTACACAATTGTGGTAGATCGTTGAATAGATTTCAAAAGGATACCCATAATATGCTACCATGCCTCCAGGACTCACCAGTGCCGCTAGCTCTTGGTAGATCGATGTATGTTTCCTCACACAATGACGTGGTGCGGGTCTTCCTCTCCGATTCAGCTTGTCGATGGTCATTGGATTGTTAGTGTTTTTGGTTGTTTCTACTTCTTCTTCTTCTCCGTCTTCTTTGTATTTTGTTTGTTTCGTTTCGTCAGTTCTGTGATTGCGAGTTGTTTGGCTTCTCTGTTTCGTTTCTGTCCAGGATTCCAGGATTTGGTATTTTAGAACCCAGCTTGTAGTTTTGATGAGCTGGTTGAGGTTGATGTTGCCGCTGGCGTAAGCGGGAGCCTGGGATTCGGTGATTCAACATCGGAAGGTCGCGTCGAGTTGTTCCAGCGTCTCTGGCTGAGTTGGAGGGAATCAGGATGAAGGCGCAGAGGGGAGTGTGAAGCAACAAGCTCCGTCTGCGGACCACAGCACGCCTGCGGAAAGTAAGGAATAAATGGATGCTACGATTAGAAGGCAAATCTAAAAGCTCGACAACGTGGCCACCACCAGAGAGTGGAAGAGTTGAATCAGAAAGCCAATCTTGGTGAGCATCACGACATGCCCGAGGTGGGTCCTTGTTAATGTTGAAGGGCGTCGACACCAGAGACGGCATCCTATGGAATAACGACATTTGGTAAAACGCCTTTCTGATTTCACAAAGAAACAGATGTTTCCGAATTATGAAATTCTTCAATTTGGGGTATCCACACGCAGAAGGCAGTACTCTGCAATACCAGAACCCGATCGATCACAAAACTTCTTTGCAATTGCTCAAATGTAATAAACAATAGCACCAAATCCCAGGTCTTCACTGACCAGGATGATGTCCCTAAGTAGTCCATGTGAGACCAGTAACAAAGATCAGCATTTACAACTGATACTTTCACAATGAACCATTTGCGGTCACATTGAAATAGTCACGCGTTAAATGTACCTCCGCAAATCATGTCATGGTGTAAGCAGAGACAAGAGTCACACCATGGATGATTTAAATAAATTAGGGCTAAAGTGAAAAGACAGTGTCAACAAAATTTCTGATGGTGTGCTATAGTTGGCATGTGAGTGCATCAATATTATTAGCATGGAGATTTCATGTGTCAGCTTTTCTCACCAGCTCAAATTAAACTATACAAGCTTCAGGAACCAGCATGTAACAATGCAACTTAGTTTAAATTCGCTCTTTACTTGAATGTACATATACAACCAATTCACGGTTCGCCATTAACTGATAATACATGCAAACAATAAGTAATGTAAAAAGTACAGTTATCACCATCCACGCATGTTCTTCTGCACGCCACAACGTCACTACCTCAACTAACAGAACTTTTGTATTACAAATAGAGAACAAGTCTTAATCATACAGATGAAGATTTTTAAAGTGTCGACAGTATTGGGACCTCTAGTTTCCACTGGCAAGCTTCCCAATGCTTTTGTTATCATAGAAATCCACTGGAGACCCCGGTGTGATCCCTTTCTCAGCAACCATTCTGATCGCCTTCGCAACCGAGGTAACACCACTGGCTGCTCTTCCACCAGTAAGAAAATTAAGAGGCTTGTGCAAGGAGACCGCAATTGACTCGGCAAATCTCGTTTTCTCCCGCTTTTCACCATCATAGACAAGAATACCAGGTTGGAAGATTGACAACTTCGCAAAACCTAGCTCAGAGATGTGTTGCTCGATTAGACCCTTGGTTTTGGGGTACAGCAATGAAGAGCTCGCGGAAGCACCTGAGCTCGACAGAAGGCAGAAATGGAGGGGCTTCGATGGGTTTGCCTCCTTGAACAGACGAGCAACATGGAGCGGGATGTCATGATCTATCTTGATAAACTGCTCATCGCTCCCAGCGTCCGCTCGTGTTGTTCCCAAGGTGTTGAACCCCACGTCAAGATTCTCGAGAAGCGCTTTGTGCTCTTCAATCTTGCCAAAGTCCACCACGTGCTGATCCAGCTTCTCTTTACCAGGGCCATCGTACGCTACCACTCGCCGTCCAAGCGTCACAATTCGACTGAAGTGGTCGGATTGCGAGAGTTCCGCAACAAGCTTCCTACCCACCATCCCTGAAGTCCAATCAATCCCATCCCGTGTTAACAAAGTGAAACATGCTTGAAGATGTTGATGCGAAGGTCAGACTTGCACCATCTTTCTTGCGTTTGCCCAAGAGGTGCTAACAGATCAACCTTTAAATGATGAAAAGCACTGAAAAGGTAGGGAATATGTAAGTATTACGAACGTACGTTTTCCTTTTGAGTTTGCTTGACAAATATATTATCAAATATCAACGGCTGCCGAAGAAAGCATATTGATACACTTCTCATCAGCTAGTTTAGAAAGCACAGAGGCTACGCAGGCACCAGGAAACAGCCACCTTATAAATCCAATGTTGATGGGCTGGAGAAAAATTTAGCAACGGCTAGATATTCTACATTGAAGTATAATGATTTTATGGAGAATGTACCAGTGCCGCCGATAATGAAAGCGGACATGGTCGGCGTTGATGAGTGTTCTGTTGTCATAAGTGCTCCTCTCTCCTTCACGCCACAAAACCCTAACCCCTTCAATTGCGCGTCGTCTGCACGTATGCAACAGTGCAAGATCTCGAATTGTGAGAGCGCCATTGGAAAAACCCCACAATCAACCCCATATTCAACACTTGATCCGAATCTTGCAACTCAATTCAAAGCATTTCGCAATTGGGCTTGAGATCAATTGACATGTAAACTTGGAGTCACTGACGAGAATGTGGAAACCTAACCGCAGGTTTCAGGGATATGCGCGCAGGAGACCGCCACCATGACACCAACCCAAGTGACCACCCATAGCGAAACTCTCGCAACCATCCCAATCGAAACAACTAAAAACAAAACGTGAGAAGCACACAGCGGGTCTTCTCAAGACTCAGGCCACGGTTGAGCACCCTTTAGGACACCGATAGACCAGACCCAATGCAGGAGTCGAGGAGAACATTCATAGCTGGGACACATACACACCCCATCTCTTGTAATAAGGCAATAGTAAACCAGGTGGGATCAAACAACACAATACACGACAACATTCAATTCCGAAAAGAAAAAGAAAAAAAAGAAAAAACTAAAAAAAAACTAAAAAAAAAAAAACAACCACCCGCTTCCATCGAGGAAAACGAAATGTAGAAACTCGACTGCCTCTCCGCGAATTCTAAACCAATCTAGATAGGTGATGCCGAAATTCTCTCGGTACCCACATCCGCAATCTACTGGGTATAATAACGTACCCTTGAAACCAAATCTGTGAAAAAAATTCTCACCAACTCGTAGCCAGCAACAAAAGCGAGTTGTCTTGTGAGGTGCAGACGATTCAAACGGTAGAATGAAATGGGGCGAGAGGGCTCAGAACAGATAGAAACGAGCAACAATACGTAGGATCAAAGGAACAGTTGCTATTTAAAGGGGGAGCCCCTTCTCAGACGAGGAAGACGACGCCCAAAGGAGATTTTTTTCCTCCCCATTGGTCCTTTTCACACCGCGGATGTGCTGACTTTGGTTCCTCTTCAAACCAGGGGGTCCTTTCCGGCATGCCACGTAGGACGTGGATGATGACAGTAATGACTATTGATTTTTTAACTGTTTTATTTAATTTTTATTTTTTATTTTTGGCTCAAAACTGGGTTTATCCAGTGGTTTAGATTAATAATAGTAGAAAAAGAGAAAATAATTTAGATGTGTACTCATTTACTTTTAGGAGATTTTTATTTAGGTCAAAGAGTCATTAGATTGGTCTAGAATACACAAGGTAATTAAATGAAACTCTAAAATATCACAATGTAGTGTAATAATACAAGAAAAGGTAGATTAATAGAAAATAATAATAAAATCATCATTTTACATGGTTAATTTAGCCTAATTAGAACCAGGGATTGAGTTGTAGTTATGTACCTTGTTTTCATTCTATCAATAAATTTGGTAAATCCCATTTTTGTGCCAAAAAAAAGTAAAAAAAAAAAACAAAACAAAAAACAAAACAAAACAAAAAAAATCTTAAAAACATTTTTTCATGTCACCTTTAATTACTTCTAGAAAAATGTTTTAATTTTAAAGTTATAATTTTGGAGTTTCAAAAAAAAAATCAATGGACAACTCTTTAGGTTTTTGAAGGTAAGAAAAAAGAGTTTTAGAGCCTTTAATGTAGTAACATCCTTCCTTGAAGAATCTATGAAGGTACCTTCAATAAAGGTGTCCTTTTAAGATGGCTCTTCATATAAGTGTTTGCAAATTTGCTATTATAACCAAACAATAAGTATGATATAATTGACTTAACAAATGCATAATATATATATCCGATTTTTTAAAAATGAGCTAAATAATAACTTTTATTTATCTAAATAATAGTGCAAATATGCACCACAACCACTTAAAATATGTACAACCATTTTATGAAATGTATGCTCTTATTTAACATATGAACCCTACTAAATGCTTGAGCTCAATACTAATATGCTTATGAGCCAAAGTTTACAAAACTTGCATCTAAATTTACCATCTCTATTATTTTTTTCATGAAATGATCTTAAGTAGTTGTAATATAGAAGGCCTAGTAAAAAAAAAGTAATAAAGTTGTATAAATATTAGAAATGATATTTTGTTGATTTTACAATACAAACTTATTAAGTTGTAAATATAAAAAGTAACATGATAAATCTCCATTCAATACATTTTGATATCTATGGTTTCTAGGATAAGAATGTAATTGATATATAATAATATCTTGCATTAAGTTGGAAAAAAAAAGACTTCAAGGTTTTTAAAGAGAAAATAATAACTTTGTGATTGAATGCACTTATTTTGTTTATTTACAAATATCAATTTTTATATGGCCTTAAGAAGAATGAACTTGATGATCTTTTTTAAGCAACTTGGAACTATAGAAGACTATATTCTTATATGATAATATTTAAACAAGTAGAAATAAATTATTCAAGTCTTAGTTGTACTTTGGTTTTTTTTTTACTATCAAAAGGAGGCAATAAATAATTTTTATATTACTCAAAACACAATACACTATTTATTGATAAGACTAATTTTCTTGAAGTTAGTCCTATCTCTTTTTTTTGTTTGTTTCTATGAGCTAAAAAAGACAAATATTAGAAAATAAAATTTTAAAAAGAATAATTATAGTATTTACCTCTTAAAGCAAAAAAACAAAGTTGAACCTAATAAAAGGATAAAAAGTAGAATCATTTTATTACATAGAAGCCTTATTGGAAGCGCTTCCAATATTTATATGAAAGAAATTAAAAAAGAGATTTAAAAAATCTAAATTTTGATATCTCCTATTATATTTTAGGCTAATTTGGTTTTTTATTTACATTTTATTTTTTTATAGCAATGGATTGATCTTTACATATACTAAAATCACTTGGTTTGATAGAAAAAGTTTTTAAAGCTACAATTAGAGAACATCAATGAAAAAAAAATCATATTCTTATAACCATGTTTTAAAATAAATTGCTTAGGATACAAGATCAAAAGATCCTTTGATAAAGATCTATTAGTGATTGCAATTGTAATTACTTTGCAAAAAAAGATCATTAGTTGGAATTTCTTTTGGTGACTTTACTAGAAAAATTGTTAAATTAGAGAATCCTCTAATGTAGACACTTCTAGTGATTACATCTAAAAAATCATTGAATGATATATAAACCTACTATTTTTTGCATAGAAAAAATAAGAAAATAAAATATAAATAATCTAAAAATTTAAGGGAATAAAAAAATTAAATTGTAGTCAATAAAAAGATAAAAGCTAAATACCATTAAGTGATTTCTCTACTTAAACTAATGAAAATGTTGTCATCTACATGAATGACATTATCTATCTTCATTGCTACTAGTGATATTAAATTAGCCAATCAAATTATTTTTATGGTGGTATTAAACTTATTTGACTACTTCTAATAAATTATTATAAAAATTGACTTGAAGTAAACTTCTATAATTTTAATAGTCTTTTGGTTTGACAATAGCAATCCTTCTACAATTGATCCTTGATGCTTTTAAATATCTTATAACATTACATCAACAATAATAACATCATCTTACTTAGAATTTATATCTATAATAGGTTATTAATTAATAAAATCTAATCTTGATAATGATAAAGAAGAGTCTATATTGATTAATTAAAGATCCAAGTACATTGTGAGCCCAAATTTCACTACTTGATAAAATTGATGCCACAAAACAAATTCAAGAGACATAAAATGGAGGAACTTCCAATTATATAATTGCTAAGATAATTTAAATCTTGATATTTATAGTTCAATTAACTTAATGTCTTTCAAGCAATGGTTAAATATTAAATAAAAAGATTTAATGAAATTCACTATAATCTTTCAAGACTATTTGCATGATCTTTACTTAAATGGCATATGTTCTTTCAAGATATTTATAAGATCTCTACTTAAATCTCTTATTTGTTAGACTTATAATTTAATTTTTCAATGACAACAAAGAAGAAGAAGATAAATAAAACTTATGAGAGCCTCACAATACCTCTCAATAAGAAAAAAACAAAAGAGACAAATTATGAAGATGGAACAAAATTAATTAGAAGGAAGTTGGATGTTTTAGGATTCAATTCGTATAATTTAAGTTTATTTTCATGACCTCTACTTGACTACGTTTTTTCTTTTAATACCATTCACATGGTGTCTACTCAAATGCCATTAGATTGTTCAAACCATTCATATGGTTTCTACTTGATCATTCACAAACCTTTTAAGACCATTCACATGGTCTCTATTAAATTTTGTATAATTAAAAAATTATAATTAATTTGAATAAATAATTAAATAATTAATTGAAATTTATAAATAAATACTTCTTTAATAATTAATGGTAAAAGTAATTAATTAAGTTCATATCATTAATCTATAATAAAAGTAAAATCTTAAAGTTAAATTTTAAAATAAAAGAGAGAAAATTAAAGGTTAAAAGTTTAAAATTAAAAATCCAAAATTGAAATATAAAAGTTGTGAGTTACTGTAAAAATAAAAGTAAAATTCGAACTAAAGAGAGATGAAAGCAAAGATACCTTGACAACTCCCAAGAATTGAAGGCAGTAACCTTCTATTTCATAATTTTCCAAAATTTTCCAAAAATTTTTATTAGTTCAAAATTGAATAATTTTTAGTTTTTTTCTAATTTAACTTAAAGGCACTACTACTCTAATAATTTTCAATTCAATCTAATATCTAAACCGAGAGAAATGCTCCTTCAATATTGAATGACAAGGACTGCCATAGCAAACAACCTCCTTCCACTTGGAAATTCACCAAAAATTCAATTAGTCTTTGCATTCAATGAAATTTGTGCCATTGAAAGTTCAGCTTGAAAATACACTTACTTTCAAAATTACACAATAATCCAATTAGGAGGCATTGAGAATTCTCTTTTCAAAAAAGGGTGATCTAAACTGCCAAGGCAGCCAACCTCTTGTACTCAAAATTTCACCAAAAAAAATTCCTTACTTCAAATCAAGTAAATATTATCTTTTTAGAAATTTCACTCCAAAATCCATAATCTAAAAAAATTCATATTGAAACTTAAAAAATTGAATGATTGATTGAAGGAAATCCGACGATCTTGAAATCCTTGAAGTATTTGGGAGGCCGAGGGAGCTTTCTATCACAATGAAGTATGTTTTAAAATCCAATGACCATCATTTTTACTCAAAATCCATACACATTCACCCACAAAGTTCACAATGAAATTTAAAATCCAAAATAAGATTAAGATTAGGATTTAAGGCCAAAATTTGGCCTCGCTTCACCTTTCATCAAAGAGGAGAAAGAGAAGGCTTGAAAAACCAAGCTATTCTTATACAATTGAGTGGTGGCTTGTAAAAGGGTGGCTACATCTTCACCCTTGATTTCTAAGATCCCTAATGTAGATCTACAACCTTCATTCATCCAAGAGCTAATTTCGTTATTAAGGCTAATGGCTCTTCTAAGTGATCATAAAAACACTTTTTAGTAAATCTAACTTCACCATTGTGTTCAAAACATCTTTTATGGTAAAATTGATTATTCATGAGCCTCAATCCATGATCATTTGTAATTTATATGAAGATTTTTATTGACAAGGATTTTGGCAATTTTTGTAAAATTCTTCAAAAATGAGAATTTCATTACTCGACTTGTATTCTGAAGGAGAAGGTGCTAATCTTGTTTTCTTTACTTCATATGGTGAATCCAATGCTACCATTGCATTTGAAAGGCTTTCATTAATTAGAGGAATGACTTTGTCACTTGGATTTGTTGAATTTGGAGAAAATCTTTAAAATTGTCATTGCTAAACTTCACTAGATCTTTTAAAAAATTCTAATTCTAATTCACTCTAAATTATATGAAATGATTTTAGGTGA